TAGCATAAAACCACAAGAAAGAACATGTTATATAATTTTTTCTTTCAATTAAGATTGCACAGTTCACGTTGATGTATGGCTAGGTTGTCTACCTTTTATCACCTGTCAGATGCAACATAAATTCTATGATTTTTTTCCACGTGTTTTTATTCATCTGCAAAAAAAAAGTTATTTTTAAATAAATTGATGTGGGCGCTCAGCAGCCCACAGTATTTTGTGTGTGTGTTTACCTGTGTAATACGTGTGTAATACAAGATATGTGAGCACTTTTCGAGCCATTACAGATTGTAAAGTCCAGTTATAAAACTCCCTAATTTTCAGATTTTTCTTAGAACTGTCATATAGTTTTATTGAAGAACGGTCAAAGTATATTTCTCCACGCATCTACACTCCGTGACAGGCTGAGAATCGAATATAAGCTCCTCCTAGCTCCTCCCGCATGCACTCGATGCTTACGCCGGTATGCTCAGCGGCGCGTGCCATGGATTGTTATCAAATGTCAAAAGCTTGCGCTTAGCCCGTCATCCTTTTTTTATAAGAGTGCGGGAGATGTGGAAGCAGCCTGAAACACAATGAGAACAGCCGTATATAGCTGTGCCAAGTTTCATTGTTTTCATTACGAACGCCACGGTCACCTGGCAAAGAAACGTCGAAGCCGTACCACACAAGAAAACCCAGGGACATCTTCATCAGATGCCAGATGATTGACGGCGGCGAAAGCAACGTCATACGACGAAAGCAGTAATGGAACACTCATTTTGACCTTGTTGTCTACAAGAAAAGAAAAAAAAAAAAAAAAAAACACGCTGGGCTTGATTGGATGAGCCAGTGGATGAGCACGCACAAGATGCACGAAAGGCATGACGTTGCGCTTTCGGCCCTGCTTGATCGGCTCTCCGCTCGTACCCGGCTGGGTGTTTGAGGTGAAACGAAGTACAGAGCAAGTATTTTGCCAGATGTTCGCGTGCGGACGGCGCTGGACTATCGATGGAAGCTGACAGTGCATCGCCTGTGCGTGTCTTATCTCAGCAGGGGCTTCGGCGACAAAAGTGCAGCGTCATCGTCGAAAGAGTCCAATCGACACACATTGTAAACTTCGACCGCAGCTTTAGTATTTAGCGCGACTAGGGCCCTGGCGGTTCGATGAGCGTCGCAAACGTTGGTCAAAGTTAAGACGCTCAGGAAGACTGCCGGTGCTGTGTGAGCTTTAACCTTGGGTGCGCTACAAAAACACGATCGTGAAGTGTTCACTTGCGGTGCTGGACATCTCGGGACTAAGCCTAAGCGGTCGTGATCTGTTGTCTCGGCTGAACAGCACTGAGGGTTTTGTTGTGCATTGGCTACGCAAGACTCCGCAGTTAGAAACCAGGGCAACAGCACCACAGTCAGCAACATTTTCTGTGACTACCAAGATGTTTTCTGTACAGACTTGGGACTCATCGAGGGACATCCAGACAGCCTACGACTGAAGCAGCATGCCTCATGGTAATCTGCTATATATTAACCTCTCTTGGCGTGCACTTGCCGGCCACTCACTCACAATTAGAGAACCTCATAGTACCAGCGCCCAGAAAAGACGACAAAGAAAGAATCTGTGGCGATATTAAAGCCAGCTTAAACACAGCACATGCGGTTGTACAGTTTCACCTGTCCGTGGGAAACGGCAGGAAGTGCTTGAACAACCGATTTTCGGTACGCTTATAATCAGATGCAGCTAAACAATGCCTCGAAGAAACTCTGTGTGATTAACACGCATAAAGACCTCCTTTGATATAATTGGCTTTTATCAGGAATTTCTTTTAAGCTGTAATTAATCACTATTGTTATACATTCTTAAAAAAACGTTAGTAAACACAAATTGGCAGCGACTGTTACCTTCAAAGGCCCACAGTTCATGGAATGTATTAGAGGGAATTGATGAAGGGCATTGGTGTGCCACGTGACGTATATTTTCCCGCCAAATTTAGCGGGGAAACTGAATCGTCACGTGACGTCAGGTTGATTCATTGACGTTGATTCATCCCGCTAAATGTAACGGGGAAAATGGATTGGCGTCTACTTCAGAGGACGTGTATTTTTTCCGCTAAATTTAGCAGGTAACTGAAATGGTGTATATGTCACGTGACGTAAATTCCCGCTAAATTTAGCGGGAAACTGAATTTTCGTAAAGGACTCGTGCCGACAATTTGTCCGAGGTGTATAGGTCACGTGACGTCAAGTGACGTCACGGGACGCCACTTTGCCGCCGAATTTGGCGGGGAAAGTGAATTGCTGTATAAGTCACGTGACGTCAATTTTCCCGCTAAATTTAGGGGGAAACAAAATTTTTTTGTATGTCCCGTGACGTCAGGTCATCTAACGTCAGTATTCCGACTGCATTTAGGTGAGAAACTAAATTCGTGTATAGGTTGTGATATCAAATTGCCGCTAAATTTAGCGAAAAATTCACAGACGGGACGACGGACGGAGAAGTTTACGGATAGGCGGTAGCGTTAAAAAGCATTTCGTGCTTCAAAAGTTAGTAAATACAGCAGCTACTACCCCTTCGTGGCCATTACTGCCAATTTCTACTAGGTGTTTACTACATCAATGGCGCCAAAGGTAGTAACTGCGGCTGCTATTAGCCAAGAAATTTTTGGTAGTAATCATTAATAGCCAAGGAAGTCCAGCAAGTAATAATTACTACTGATGTTGCGTAGCTCTGGGGTGAAGCAAAAACATGCCCGCTAGAAGGAAAAGGTTGTTAGAGAATTACAGCATAATCGTTTTCTTGTTTTCTAAAAGATTCATGCTTTGAACTGTTTAAAATTAATTTTGAGGAATAACACTAGTAAGAGAAAAGCAACATTCTCGTAAAGCCAATTATTGCTGAGGTAGTCATCGAGGCCAGACGTGTCTTCAAAATGATGGGAATAAAAGGCGAAAGAGCAGCAGCCGCAGCCAGTAGCCCATGCAGCGCGCTTTCATGTCAGTACTTTTTTTCTTGTTCTACGTTTGTGTACGTGATCTATGTTTATGATGTGTTTAGCAAATTTGACGCGTGCATTGTGTGTAATTTAAAATCTAGGAGACGCAATTCCTGAAGCCCTGCAGCCGCGAGAGCAAATCAAATATTTTTCGTGGCCTTTCAATAGAATGGCGACGGCCTCAACTAGCTTTTCGGGCTAGGCGGCACTAGCTCAATAGACCCTTTTCAAAAAGGTTAACAGCCGTGCGAGTTATCTCAGTCGGCCCGGGCACGTATCAGCATTCGGCATGAGCATGGCTCATGCCGCATGCTGATACGATCCGAGGACGGATTTGACCACACTCTTTGTTCCCGAAAAATGGCGAATTCCAATGCCGCTTGATGGGGTTTTGGAAAGGGCCTACTTCTAGGTTAGTAACTGCTACCAACACTCGAGCTACTAAGTGCGGTTACTGCCATGTTAGTAACATATGGTCACGGATGAAGGCGATGGGTGGATGAACAGCAAACTGAAAATAAAGGTTTAACGGCGAACTTGTGCCAGACGAAAGAAAGATCGAGCGTCGAGACAGAAGAAAAGTGGGCGGCGATCTGGCGGCGTAAGAGCAAGCGAGAGTGAGACTCACTCGACGAAGTCCCGCTCAGCTCTTTATCTGATGTGCGGTGGCCGGCCGTAGAAACTGACGCTGCACGTCAGCCTCAACGGTTGGCCACCCCATGGCGCTGTGGGTCCGTCAGCGCACCAACACGAAACGTCCAAGGTAAGAGCCCTCGCCGGCAGAGCGGAAGAATGATGTACTATCGAGGAAAAATGAAATGCGAACAGCGGAGCGCGTGGCTCGCAGTACAGGCTGCGCCGCCTGTACCGCGAGCCACGCGCTGCTCTGTTCCATTTCATTTTTCCTCGATAGTACATGCTTTCGCATTTACAACTCATAAGAAGTGCTTCAGTGTATCTCGACCCTTTTTACTGTTACAAATATAGGCTTCGCCACGACACGATGACGTTTGATCGGAACCCGAGTGATCCTTCTTGACCAACTAAACGTATACGGTTCCACACACACGCTCCAATAAGAGCAAAGCCTTCTTGCGGAAGGTGCACGGCCTCGATCTGGTGCATAACCAATTTGTGCGTTGAAAGCAACAAATTGCAAATACCACTCATAAATGGTTGCCCCTCATTCTCTGCAATATCGAACGTCTGCCACAAAAGCCAACGAAGCAGACGAGCTTTGACGGCTGTGAGCGCAAAGCGGACAACGAGCACATGGCGAACATGCCACGTGACGCCTTTACTCTATTTCATCCGACGTTACCCACCTATCGGAGAAGGAGGGTAGCGTGAGTAATTACACCGGAGTAAACAAACCCGCTTCTCGAACACAAGTTAGGACGTCATCGAAGAAGCACGAGCAAGTTTTGGAACCCCGCGGTACAAAACAATAGGGAGTTTTAGTAGATCGCGCTTTCAAGCCACGCTAATTGTTGCGGGAGTTCGCGCTGCCACTTCGATGCATGCTCTGAAGCGCTTGCCCGTAGCGGTAGCGGGCCTTTAAAAACGATCTACTACAACTCCCTATTTTCTCTGGAGTCGTATCGAGTGAATTTTTGAACACAGCCACGGAATCACTGCAAAATATCAAACCTAGTCCAGTTTTAAAAAAAAATGGTTAGTGGTGAATTTTAGTGTATTTTGGTACCGTGAAATTGAATACCACGAACATTTGACTCAAACGTAAAAATAGACACGAGATAAAAAAAAATAAAAAAAATCAACCGCTCAGTGCGACGTCATACCTAGAGGTTACAGCTGCCTTGAGTGTGCTGCTTGTGAGGGATCCCGCCTAACGCGTTTGACTGCTAGGGTAAGGTAACGCGCTGGGAAGGACTTCAGCGCTATATTGAAAGCGTGGTGTAACTACTTGGTGTATCCATCTGAATTATTATTTTGATATTCGCGATGATGTAGGCCAAATGACGATTGAAATGTGTTTTTTTCTCTTTAATATAAAATTTCTTCAGTTTCGCTTTAATTTTACTTTAAAAGTGATGATGTTCTGTCGGTCTGCTTCTTCTGTGCGCTGTTTTCAACAGCGTCTCCTTGGCCATCTGTTTGAACACTGAGGATGGATTGCAGATTAACTCTTGCACAGTTCCGAATTCCAGAATGCGGCCGTCACCCATCACGAGGATCCTGAAAGAAAGCACAACAAAAACACACATCAACTTAAAGAGTATGTATGCTAATACTCGTCAAAAGAATATACGGAAAAAGGGATGTCTCCTTCTTTCTCCTTTTACAACGCAAACTGCGCTATAAACTATCTTTGGAATCTATATCACTCAATTGCGAATAATATTTTATCTTCAAACGTTTAAGCAAGATGTAAAATTTTTGATGTTCTCATATGTTGAAGCGTATTTGTTAAAAAAAGAATATTAAGAAATGCGCAATTAAATGACCGCAAAATAACGAAACTAAATAAAGAGCTTCATTAAAAAAAAAAAACTGCCAAGGAAACATTTTGTACAACGGGACCCTTTCCTCATTCATTCGAAATGTACGAGAAAACCTTTGGCGGCACATTAATCCGCGTGTAAAACCAGGCCATCATACTACACCCGAAGGAAGTGCGACTAAGGCTAACAACTTCAACGACTACTTTATTTCCGTGTTTACTCAAGATAAAGCTATTTTGCCGACTACAACTGACAGCTCAGCGTAGTCAATCTTACAAGGCATAACCATATCACAAGCTGGCAACCCTCTAAACTTTACCCTCAAAAAAGCGTTGGCCAAGAGAACATTTCTAATACGTTCTTGATAGGTATGCGGAATGGTGCTTAAAATACTAATAACTGATATTTAAGAAATCGCTCGACGAACCTGTAATCCCACCGGACTGGAAGCGAGCGAAAATAACTCTAATTTGCGAAACGGGTGATAGAAACATCGTCGCGAACTCCAGACCCACCTCACGAACGTCTGCCTGTTGCAAATTATTAGAACATTAAATTTTAAAACGTATAACAAAGAAAACGAAATTTCAAGTCTCTATCAACATGGTCTCCGCTCTGGTTTATCGACTGTAACTCAGCGAATTGAAGCTGTACACTATCTGTCTTCATTAATCAATCGTAGGAACCAGGTGGATGTCATATTTTTTTTTATTTATCGATGGCCTTCGACAGAGTTTCTCATACGAAACTTCTCAAATTAACTAGAGCCCTAGGCAACGGAGAAGTTGTTAACTGGATTAAGAACTTCCTGAGTAACCGTACTAAATATGTAGAAATAAACAGTAGTTATTCAGCAAATAAACCTGTGCTCTCCGGTGTCCCCCAGGGCTCAGTGCTTTCCCTGATCCTTTTTCTCTTGTATATTAATGACATAATAAGAGTCATTAATGCAGAAAAGAAAAAGAGTTTGCCGATGACTGCATACTTTATTCAGAATTAACAAACCCTCCAGGCCACTTAAGGCTCCAAACTGCTATAAACCAAATCTTTTTTTGTGTGAGGAATGGCACATGCAAATAAATTTAAATAAAACAATTGCCATGACGATAAGTATAAAAAAAATGAGCTAGCCATACGAGATCGACGGAAACGTTATAAAAAACGTCAGCGAATATAAGTATCTAGGGCTAACATTCCCAGGTGATCGTAACTGGAGTGTGCATATAGAATCACTAACTAAAAAGCCATAACAAAACTGCGGTGTCTTCGAAGACGGCTAAGGTATGAATCACGTGACACTAAACACCTAGCAAATACTGAACAAATTAAGGCTCTGCTTGAATATACTTCTCCTGTTTGGTTTCCTTTCACGAAAATTCACATTCATAATTTAGGTAGAGTAAAAAGGCATTCCTGTTGGCTTCATTACCAATAGGTTTAGCTTGTATGGCTCGCCTACAGAACTTAGCCGACGGCTAGGAATCCAATCACTCGAAAAAAGAGCCAAGTTCTTCATACTAAAATTATTATTCTAAATTGCTCAGAATATGACTAACGTAAATTACTCTAAGTACCTAACTGTGATTGATAGAACAACGACCCGCTAAAACGATGAGAAACTACTTAAAGAATTTCATCCCAAAATATTTACTTTCATTTTTTTTTCCATTTTTTCCATTTTGCCATTGAAGAGTGGAATAAGCTGCCGGAACATGCTGTCCACGCGAGCTCACTATCGCAACTTTCGAATGATGTCGAAGCGCTAAGGACATGATGAATTATTTCTTTTCTGGTTTTTACTGATATGTAAACAATCTCTAACAGTTCTATTCTCTATACAAATGTTTACATTAATGTATAACAATTTCTATATTTTACTGTGGTGAAGCATCCCGCATTTCTAACCAGCCTGCGAAAATCCTCATATGAAGATTAGTATAGTATTCATAAATAAATAAATAAATAAATAATGCGAATATTATGCAAGTGTGCTATGCTACTCAAAGAAAGGGGCAAATAGACCAAATGGAGGATAAAGTGAGCCGCCAAAGTTACTTTCATCCAAGTGTACAAAAACACCATTTAAGTTGAAACTAAACGTTTTCTTCAAGAAACACTACAAGGATCAAAAGAAACTTTGGCAGAAGTCACCATAGTCGCTGACAACCTAAAAAAAAAAGAAAAAAAGAACAGGTTACGGCTTCTCATATTCATGCTCGTTTCTTCGCGATTCATTCTTCAGCGTTCTTAAAGGCTAATGTCACAATTCTATTCGTTCTACATCGGTAATAATTTGCTCGGGAACTTGTTTCGCTATGCGTTTCTCATGCTGTCAGTGACTAAGCTTTGCCTTAAATTCCCAACGTTTTTATTTTCTATAATCATTTTTTTTAATCTATTTTATCATTTACGCCACTAGATACGCTACGTTCACCAAGTCAATAGTTTACTAACTGCATATAGTCCTGCTATCAGCCATCTTCATTTTACTAGAAATCTGAAAACAAAAACAAAAAAACACGTTCTGGACCAGGGTGTAAGATAGACAGGTGGGGAAACGGCCCATAGAAGCCTACCGCAGCGCCGTGACCGGATTGTGTACTTGTCTGCTTGCGGGTACCCCCGACTTGCGACAGATGGCGCTGCGGCGAGAGGAAAAAAATCGGAATCGGATTTGCGTGGAACTTTATGGGAGACAGCGCAAAATAAACCGAGAGCACGACAGTCTTTCATTAAAAATCCACGAGAAATCATCTCCGTCAGTTTAGCCGGTCGCCACCGATCGCCCACCCGGAGTGAGAGTTCGCGGTGCTCCACATAGATGGCGCCACAGAAAAAGAGAAAACCGAGGTGGACACAATGCGGTCACTCATTTGGCTCTCGTTTCCCCACCTGTCTATCTTACCCCCTGTTCTGGACTCACTTGTCGTAGTCGATGATAGTGTGTAATCGGTGTGCAATGGTGAGTTGGGTGCACGTCGCAAAGGCTTCCCGAAGCGTGGCCTGTATCAGCTGATCCGTGTCGCCGTCCATCTGGGACGTGGCCTCGTCCAACAACAGCAACCGGGGTCTCCGCAGCAAAGCGCGAGCGAGACACAAAAGCTGACGCTCACCCACGCTGCACCAGAAACAACGACGAAATTAAAGGCAGCTGCGGGGGGGTGACATCACTCGCTTGCAGAAAAGAAAAGAAGTGCAGGCGGTCCCAGAACAAATCTGCCTAAGAACCGTGTGTAAATAATGGCATCTTTTGGCACATCTGCTAGTGTGCAAGGACGTATAGGGTGGCTGCCCTTTTGATGCCGTACAACTGCGCCTCTTGATCGTTCACGTTGACTCCAACAGGTGTAGGATGAGAGCGCGTGAATTAAGTATCCGTCTGAACATTTTGAAAACTTTTTTTATAGTTTTATGAGTGAGAAGTCTTTCAAACCATTGTGCGTAGTGTTCAGGGATGTGGTCAATATTCTACAAAGTGGGTGTAGGAAACCCTGTGCAGGACAGCTAGGCAGAGAGAAAATAGAGCGTCGAGAAAAGAAACGCGCTGTTCGAGCTTAAAGCAATCGAGTGGCATTCACCACCACCACTACACTAAGTCTAATCACTTGACTAAGAATCGGCTATAGTAGGTGAAAGACTAATACTGTACCTAGTTACACTAGCACTTTTAACTGTCATTAAGCCAACGCCAGTTGACTTAATCGCGATCAACCGGAGTAACACGGCGGCGCCAACTGTCATTAAGCCGCTAACGATCATTGCGTTAAACTGAGCTGGCCTACCTTAATTATATTTCACTATGTCTATTTCACACTACGATGTACCGCAAAAAAAAAGCTACAAACCCAATATCCTTGCTATGCGGCAGATCTCGGCGGCATAAAATCTCGTGCATTAAGGGCAGCTGCCAACGCTATGAGCTTGCGCTTCTAGCCTTCGCTGCGGTACAACAGACGTAGTACAACTTAAGGTAAAACAGAGTATAACTGATCGGAATTCGCCCCAACAGAGCTAAAGATGGCGGCGTCCGTCGCATCGCCGCCCATGGAAAGTGCCAACGAAGCACTTACTGTCAGGGGGGGAAAGGTGCCGCCGCTTCCAATGCACCCTCCTCAGAATTCACGGCGCTCCGTGGGGGCCGCCATGTTAAAACTTGATACCAGTGTTGCTGCATCTCTAGGTCATCTTTAAGTTAGAGCTGACGGAGAGAATCTGGCCACGGCGCAACGCCGATGTACGCTGGAAGCTAGAGCCGGTTTGCTTTCGTTGTTTTTGTTTGGTCGGAGAAAATCTAGCAACAACGCACGTTCAACATGGCGCCGGTATTGCTTCGGTTTGACCACGTTTGACGCGGTTTGCGAGCACATGTAGCGAAGACGCGACCGGAGAAGTGCCCCTGTGATGGTCCCGGAACACGGAAAGTAATCGTCGTGTGTGCTTTGAAAGCGAAGGGAGTCACAGGGTCGCAACCTCGAGCCAATGTTCACGACAGCGCTCCGTTGACTACGGTGATCTCGTTCTGTTTAGTGCGTAGAGACAGGTTTGGTGTAACACGGCGACGCGACAAAGAGTTGAATGAAACGTTCGTGGTGTGTGGTGCGGTGCTTGGAGTTAGAAGCCCATACTAACACGAAGCACAAATTGGTTATTGTGGGGCTGCAATTCCACGGGTTCAGTCCCGTCGTCGTCAGCTGATCCGGTCCAGCTGGTCCGGGAGGACGGAGCGAGCGCTTTTAAAAGTAAATCTTCCTTCGTCCCGTTTCAAAATGTGGAAGATTCTTGACGCATACCGTGAGTAAAAAGCTGCGGGCGTTTTCAACAAAATTACATCGTTTTAATTGAACAATGGACTCCGGATTGTTGTCCTAGACCTGCCGTTTTTATGCTTCGTTTTGTTTTTATTTGCACAGCGACGCACACCGCCCGAGTAGATGATTCGGTCCTGCAAACGACCGGTCATACAGAATTTAAGGGAAACTTAAGTCACCACCGATATTTTCTTGTAAATCTCGTGTGAGTTTGTTGCGCTCATAATGCGGTGTGAATAAATTAGGGCAACGTTTCCTACGTGCCTATGGATGCATGAACTGAGACCATAACTTACGTAGGGAACATAGCGTTTTTTTTTCTTTATTTTGGAAAGAGGTGTTGGTGACTTTATTATGGTACAATCACTTGAGAGTTCAGAAATTGGAGAGAGCGAGCATGCTTTCCCAACTTTGTCTCTTCTCTCTGGCATCGCCCCTACTTTCAAGTTGCAGTTTCAGTAGACATACCTACTTGCAGGTACAAACTGCTCTAAAGCAGGTAAAAGACTAGTGAGTCTGGACGGTGCGGACCCCGTGTTTCGCGCTTTTCGCAAGGTGGCTGGGTAAGCGCTTTTGCGAGGTATGCGGAATACGCAAACGATTTCTTTATGCCCGTCGGTTGCGTCTTTCCAGCAAAACGAATAAGATGAACTAGTTGCGTCTTTCCAGCAAAACGAATAAGATGAACTACAAAGGCGCAATTACAAGCCAAGATTTACGATAACAGTGCATTTGATTCGGTGGTCCGTGTAGTTGTATTTTACCCTGCTTTCTGCAACACCGGGTCATGACGAAGAGCTGGAACGTTCACGGTTTGTACTGGGCTACCGGTTGACCCAGAAGCGAATCCAGAACTGAGTTTTTTGTTTGTTTTTTTTCGGGGGGGGGGGGAGAGGGGGGAGGGAAAATTTAGAGCAAGATAAACAGGACTCCGGTCGCGCCTTTTGTTTTAACCGCCGCAGAACCAGACTGCGCCGACGGCCCCTAGACGTGCGCTGCTGCGCCGACTTTTGGTTTTAAGCCGTGCTTTGAAACCGCCGCCGCGAACTTCAGTCTCGGTTGAAGCGACGGAGTGGTTCTCCAAGTTCAGAGTACTATCGGGGAAAAATGAAATGCGAACAGAGGAGCGCGTGGCTCGCGGTACAGGCAGCGCCGCCTGGAAGTGAGCTTAGGAGCGAGGGTGCGTGGCCTACTCCGACGTGTTCACGACCCTCCCTTTGCGCTCCCCAAGCTTCAGCAGTGCGCCTCTTAGTGCGCTGAAAGCTATCACCGCTATCTTTGCTGGCTCAGCGCGTGCGGTCCAAAGAAGCTCGCCGCACTCGCCGAGCAGGCAAAGATAACGGTGACAGCTTTCAGCGCACTGAGAGGCGCACTGCCGAAGCTGGGGGAGCGCCAATCGAGGGGCATGAACACATCGAAGTAGGCCACGCACCCTCGCCCCTAGGCTCACTTCTAGGCGGCGCAGCCTGTACCGCGAGCCACGCGCTCCTCTGTTCGCATTTCATTTTTCCCCGATAGTACAAGTGTGCCTGCTAGGGTACAACCTACCCTATTTCGAACCCTCGTCCTTGAGTACCGGGCCTTCTACCTCCTGGCAGGCCGGTAGTCGATTTCATTTCGGGAGATCCACCCATGTCAAATCGCTCTCCGAGAAGGGGGCAGGAAGGGGGGGGGGTCCCCGTCGCCCCCCGCCTCCCCCCGCCTCCCTTGGGTCCGCCCCTGGGTTGACAGAAGCCCGCGTCGCCCGCATCGGCACTGAGTGCACTTGGGCTATTGTAGTGGCTCTAGGCTGTTGATGCTGAAGCCTTTCATCCGCGGCTTGCCGCCAGCTGATCCGGCTGCTCGACGATGAGGAAGCGGCGAAAGTGAACTCTGAAGTAAATGTAAATCTTTGTTCATCCAGTTATCCCGTGTTAAAGAGTGGAAGGTGTCCAACGTGTACTGAGGGCGGGAACTACGAGCGTTCTGCCTTGCTTTCGTAACCGCAACCAGAACAGCGAGATAACTGTCTTGCGTACTCCAAAATGATGGAAGCAATAAGTCGTCAAAAACCCGTTTTTAGGGTTTCAAACTAAGTAAACGAGACAAATATATTTAAACTTCGTTGTCTGTATGCAGGAGGACTTATGTAACACAAAAATACATCCTCTTTCCAAAACGAAAAAAAAAAAAGTAAAACTCAGTCCGCCGTATATGGCAGCAACTTCTTCGCTGCAAAACCTATGCTGGCAACGTGAGCGGTTTTAATATGGCAGCCTCCGTTTTGCGCCGCGTTCCCTTTCCCTCTTCCCCCCCCCCCCCCCCCCCCCCCCTGCTTACTGTTTCGGAAGATTGTGGACGTATCTGGAATGTATCGTAGCAGCAAAAATTGTCTGAAAAGGTATGATTCGGGGTCGGAGCTGCCGCTAGAACGATCACGGCTCGTCGTGGAAGCCAAAGCTCGGTGATGGCGGCCATTGTAATGTCGGTGCCGATAAGACTTGTGTCTCTCTTGCTTTAATACGGGTGAAACGTTTTGATTGTCGCTCCTTTACTCTAAAAACAAACAAAAAGTTTCTTTTATATTGTTTTCAGCGTTTATACTGAATGAAAAGTGTGCATATAAATCATCTGCGTCGCTATTGTTTCTGAAAACTTAATGGGGCATCAGTTTTGGTTTCGCTTCGGTTTCAACTGTGTCCCTTGACGCGCGTCTCAATTGGGTTGTTAAGCTTATGTACCGTATAACACCGGACAACTTAGTATAGTTCAGTGACAGCTTGGAGAAGTCACCGATTGTTTGCTTAATTACATTTGAAAGCGTGTAGTATAAATAGGGTATAACTAGGGTAAAAGACCCCTTTATACCCTGTTCACCCTTCAGCAGAGACTGAAGTAAAAGCTACAAGCGCAAGCTGGCCCTCGCTTCCTGCAGGCTTTGAGATGCACATTCCGACCCGAAAACTCGTTCTGCAGAAGAACGTTTCAAAGCAGCGGTCTTGTGCTCTCGTGTTCTTCGCATTGGCTGCAGTCTCAGCTTAAAAGGGCCAGGAAATTATGTATCTACTTTCGCGAAATTACTTAGAATCACTCCCTAACGTAAATAACTGAATAAAGTAGACTTAGTTTTTCTTTCTGGGCAATGAATCAATGAGCATCGTTCATCCCCTTAACTCGGAGCCAAAACAAGCGGCCACGTAGCCTGGTGCCCATCCTATGCCGCCAACGTTAATCGTAGATACGCGCAGCGGTTGGCAAAATAGAAAACGCGTGCATTGTTAGAGTTTGGCTGTTCTCATCACCGAAGTGGTTGGACACGAGCCACTACCCGAGTGACCGCCGAGGCATTGATTGTTACGAGCCAAAGTCGAGTGCTCACGCAGTTCTAGTGCCCAATCCATGAACCGCGCTCGACTGACGTCAGGCAGGTGGTTTCGATCACACAGTTATGCCGTCAAGCTTTGCGAAGGCAAGACTGAAATAAATAGTCCCCTTTTCTCTTCAAAATTTCACTGCGACAAGAAACCGGTCTGCGCGAGTATACCTGGGCCATACTGTGACCAGTACACCTCTGCAAATTCATAAACATACCAACCCAATATCGTTTCATGACCACTTTAAAGGGTTGGTGCAACGATATTCGATTGGAATGTTTTCCACTTTACACGAGCTTAGTGTAACTAGTGGGACTCCAGGCTACTCACACGCAACGCCACTATACTCGGTGACAACTTTTTTTGGCAATGCAGTGGAAGGTACGTCCTGCGTCCCCTCTCCCATTTTGAGTGTACGCAGGCTCTCCTCCTTCCCCTTTTCCGGGGAGAGGAGGAAAGCCTGCGTACACTCAAAATGGCAGAGGGGACGCGGGACGTACCTTCCGCTGCATTGCCAAGAAAAGTTGTCGCCGAGTATAGCCAAGAAACTAATTTGTTGCGGCGTAATTTCAAGGACAAAATCGAGCGCTTTCATTCAATCTCTCCGCAAATCTTCATGACGTAGCTGGGCGCTCGCAGTATCGCCCAGTGACAACATTTGAATGTGGCTCATAGATTGGACCCGAGTATTGCGTGGGCACTCGATTTGGGCTCGTGATAATCGATAACTCGAGGAGCATTCGGGTAGTGGCCCATGTCCAATTGCTACATGGACAACAATAGCCGAACCATAGCAATGTCTGGAACTCGGCGCGTGTCGTGTGCCTTGCCAAGCTCGGGGCGTAGCTATGATCAAGATTGGCGGTGTATAATCGGCTCCAGATCACGTGGCTGCTTGTTCTAGCTGCGAGTTGAGGGGATGAACGCTGCTCGTTTTTCTTTAATAAGTTTTTTTCTGCGACTTCGATTGCGTGTGGTGAGAAACGAACAGGTGCTTAACAGGTCATTAACGTCAGGAATCGGAAGCGGTATTTGCGCAAAGTACAAAAATTTTTGCATCGTCCCTTTAAGTATGAACGGAGTATAGACGATTGCGAGCAAGGCACCTGGTCGCCGTCAAGTCTCTGTTCGTGCGGGAAATCCCGTCCAATTTGAATCTTGCCAAAGTTCTTATAACGCACACGTTGCGCGTGCTTGCACGCATAGGAAACCAGTCAAGGCGCCAGGCACGCAACTGTTCATAGAAGATACGTTTCTGACACGCTCTCGATACCTTCCTAATTGATTTTGCTGCGCGTATCATTTAAACCAGAGAGCTCGCTCTCGAGGCAAAGGATCTAGTGGGTACTGAACCTGCCATAAACAGTAGTCAGTGCCCACCTGAAGCTGGAGCCACCATCCCCAGTGTCGAGAAGCAGCTGCTTAGGGTCTCTCGACACAACGTCGCTGAGATGAGCTTGCTCGAGGGCGGCCCAGATTTCCTTGTCAGTATGCGAGTTCGTTGGATCCAGGTTTTCGCGTAGGGTGCCCCGCACCAGGCTTGGGTCCTAGACATCAGAAACCGAGTAATACTTTGAAATGAACCAAGCTTGCTCTGTCACGAAAGAAAATCTTCGACAAACTCGCTGGCCAAAATTTAATTTACCGTGAATCGGTACACCATAAATGCTGGTTCTCACATGTAACTTTGAGTGTGATTGAGTGCGCTACGATGACTTGTGACCACTTATGACCAGAGCCCACTAAAAAACACACTGACACACTAGCGCCATCGATCAGGTAGTCCAGTAAACACTTGCGATCTGTGAATAACTAGACAGCATATTTTGCAGTATTTTTTTAGATCAAGTCTGCGCGCTATCTATAAGAAATGATCGCCTTGACATTGTCCGAATTGATTTGTGTTTGTGGCGAAAAAATGGCGTCTCATAATATATCTGTACGCGGATCGAAAATGTTGTAACTAATTTGATCACAATCAAACACAAATATCGGAACCAGCCTTGATAATTATTGAGAGCTGAAATAAACTTTACATAGCCTTTTTGTTTTTTTCTTTATCCACTTTTAAAAAGATTGTGTAGGAAAAATGAATCGCTCTCTCTTAATCACTGACACATTGTATGCCCTATTACGGCAAGTTCTTAATAGTGTTGACTGTACGACAACCATCAGCCAAACGAGCCTTTGAAAGCACAATGACGCAGGTTAAATGACAACATGCCTGTGGAATGACGGTGACACAGGTGCGTAGTTTCTGCAACGGAACACGAGCAATGTCGACGCCGTCGATGAGAATAGACCCTTGGGAACTCTTCAGAACTCGCAGCAGAGCCATGACCAGAGACGACTTCCCAGCACCAGTGCGACCAACCACACCTACCTGTATTCATGGTGTGAAAGATGATATGGCACTATTAATTTTATTAAATGATACTTCTAAAAACGTTTTACAATACATAGGCTTGCCGATTAGTGCGGTGCTGAATTTGGATGAAAAAACAATGAAATTTCTTGAAGACCTCTCGCTCTAGTGGCCTTGAAAGGTAAAGCCCAAATAAAAATTTTGTTATTTGAAAAATTTACTTGGTTGGAAATAGTGCCTTGGGGGTACAACACCCAAAAGGGTCAACTTTTGACGCTTTGGCATAATATTAATGAAATTTGCAGTGTATACTGGCAGTTGCGAGGCAGAATGTAGTGCAAACTTTCATCTGTGGATGGGAATTGTGAAATAAATTATAGTCGCTTTTATCAGGAACACAAGGACATTGATTAGCCTAACTATCGTTAGAAAACTAACCAAATATTCAACGTCTTTCTTCACTAGGTACGCAGCAGAATGTTAGGAGGGTGCAACTAATTTCCAAAAGCAATTTCTTTTATAATAATATTGCGGCAAAAATCTAATAATTTTTTTGCTTTTTGTCGTTGACAAAAACTTAACCTACTACATAAAAGACATTCACGAAGTAAAAAAAAATGCCCCAGTTTTATTGCTCATTAAATTTCAGTTAGAAAAAAAAAAACTGAGTGAGCCTTTCTTTTTGTATCATTACCAAACGATAATTTTCCTAAATTGAAATTTATGCCAAAAAATAGAACGGAGAAAAACGAGTTTAAAATGCTCGTATACCTCTACCTTTTCTGTAGCGTCGGTGGACAGAAAATAATTTATAAAAAAAAATTAACCATGCTGTGTAAGCAAATGAAACTCTCTGGCAATACTTTTCAGAGTTGCTGGATGTAAATATGGCATTCTTTTTTAAATAAACAACTTTTTGCAGAATTTTTTTTTTCTCTCTAGCGTCCCCTTTAATATCACGAGGCGTAAGATTAAAAAGGTACATGTCCTGTTACGTTTTTTGCCTTTCTTAAGCCGGTGTGACTTAAATAAATAACAGTTAAATAGGATTTTTTTAATAAATGCTAATTTATTGAAGGCGACCGAAAATTCTCAAATCCCCGGCTTCAGCGCGACCTTTAGGCCGCAGTCATTCTGCCCGTACATCATACAGAAGACACGGAGTTTCTCCGCAGATATGATGACAGAAAATAGCCTGCGGACACTCTTGAGGCTTGTTCGCTCTAAACGTATCTATGCTTCGAATATGTCTGCCGGCTGTTTTTGTATCCCCACTGTGACAAGACCGTCCTCCAAGAAAGACCTCAGGCAGTGACTGCAGAGCAGAGTGTCTTCTTTTGTACGATGTAAAAGCTGTGGGACCGCGACTTAAATATTTAATAATTTTAAATGACCAGACAATGCTTTTTTTCAAAAAAAAGTTGTGTGAACTTTTTATTTTTTCATTTTTTTTTCACTTGCACGGACACAAGGGGTAAGCACGAGACGTCGTCGCAGCAGAGTTTAATCCACAACGCCGAGAATCGACACCCTTCTGAGCGGTTGTGTCGGACTCGACCAAGAACCGGCATCAATTCAGCGCTCTCGAAAGTTCGCTTGAGAAGTTTAACCAAGCTGGTTTTGACGCGCATTCACTCTTCCCCAACCAGGCATGTCTCGAAACTTGGGAGAGAACATCGTATAACTCCTACTGTGATGTATTCTGTAATGCGGCAATTTTCGATTTCCCTAGAAGATAATATCAAATTTTATTTATTTATTTATTTATTTCCTCAGGGCTCGAAGCTATTATAGAGGGGAGTGGATATACATACCTAATTGCACTCAAGTATAAACAGAAGTTAGGCAAGTAAGCCTGCATTCCAAACAGAACATTGTTAATCAAATCAAAACTTTGTTAATCAAGCTCAGAGATATTCGCTAAGTGCAGCTTTGACTGTGGCGCTACCGGCTATGCTGGCAATAGGTGCGGGAAGGCAATTCCAGTCCAACGATGCGATGGGTACGAAAGATTGTTAAAAGTGTGAGGTGCGACAGTAGGGGATGCCAACTTTATTGATGATCAACACACAATGAGACTTAAGATGGTTGTGTTAATATATGCTGACGGAGGCTTTGAGTAGCTGATAGATCTTATTAAGTAAGCTCAGGCGATATATTTTTCTACGGAGGGAGATTTCAGGCAAGCTTAGGGTGGTTTTCATTGCTGTTACACTGGGTGTGCGATGATAGTTATGTAGTATGAATCAAACAGACCCGTTTTGAGCAGCTTCTAGTGATGATGCAAGCGCTACGCCGGGGTCCCAGACAGCGGAAGGATACTCAAGTTTACTGCGGACCAATATTTTGTACATACATTTAAGGACAGTGGGACTAGAAAGTTCCTTTTTCAGGGAGCCTAACTTAAGGTTAGCATTTTTAATTATATATTCAATGTTAGGGATATGAGCACCAAGATATTTTTACGAAGAAACAAATTCCAGTGCGAATTTTTTTATATGATACGACGGACAGGTATTTTTTTGACGTGATACTCTCATGGATTTACACTTGCTAATATTGAGTTCCATTTGTCGTTGTTCACATCAACGGGAAACATTGTCAACGTCAGATTGGAGTGAACGAACTTCAAATCGTTTGTTACTTTAGAATATATGACACAGTCGTCTGCGAACAGACCAACTGAGTATGACATATTCGAATGGAGGTTAATAATGTTTATTTAAAAATAAAAGAGGGCCAGGTACAGAACCTTGGGTGACACCAAAAGTCAGAGGAGCGGGATGAAAGTTAGTGAAATTAACGTGAACAAATTGAAAACGGTTAGTTAAAAACGAGTTGATTCAACTCAAAACACGACAGTCAATGCTCAAAGTACAGAGTTTGTACAATAGGATCCTGTATGAAATCTTACCAAATGCTTTAGAGAAATTAAAAAAGATGCAGTCAACAGAAAATGAACGATCAATGGATGAATGAAGGTTATGCGTAAGTGTTAATAGCTGGGTTTCGCACCAAAATAGTCTTCTGAAGCCATGTTGAGCAGGAGGAAAAAATGTATGGATACTAAAAAAATTCAAGAGATGAGAAGAGATTATATGTTCTGGAATTTTGCAAGAAAACTTTTTAGGGAAATTTGGCCGAAAATTACTTGGGCTGGATTTGTCCCCACCTTTATGGATAGGAATCACCTTCCTCACGTTCCAGTCTTCTGGAAAGATACCGAGTTCGAGTGATTGAAGAAATAGTTTTGTTAGAATAACGCTGGAAAACATAGTAGTGTTTTTTTTTTTTAACTTCTAGTTAACATTATAAATTCCACACGATGACGATTGCTTAAGGTTGGCGATGATAGTCACGATACCGGCACATTCTATGGTAATAGAATTTATAGCACAAAAATTGCGTTGAGGAAAATCCGCATAGGAAGGATTGGTGAAATTCAAAAATGACTAGGGCTGGGCGTCGATTAAAAGTTTTAACCCGATTAATCGTCACCCTTTAATCGATTAATTAATTGATTAATCGGTCTCGTTTATTTCATTGCAAAATATTAAAAAAAAGTTTTTTTTTTTTGCTGAATCTATGATAAACGGTGCAATGTACAACGTGGATTATGAATTAATCAAGATCACTATCAGAGATCTTTCACAAAATATTACGTTTGCTGCGTGAGGCAAAGATGTTCGTTGATATTCTCTAAAAAGAGCGACTTCCTTTCATTGTTCACAATAGTCTCTACTGCGCTAAACAGACACTCGAGCGACATTGAAATGGCCGGGGACTGGCGTAACCTCTGCCCTAAATATGATGCTAAAAATATATCGCCTTTATACAGTTTATCTTATTCTAAAATTTGACCTAAAGTTCGCCCTTCGTACAGACGTACTCGTCCACGTCTGCGTTATGGAAGTGTTTAATTTTGAGTTCTTTGGTTCGTCTAAATTTTACCGATTAACCAGTTAAAAAATTTAATCGCGATTAAAGTATTAATCGATTAATCGGTAGGTTAATCGATCAATTGCCCAGCCCTAAAAATGACTTTGCGAATTATTCGTTTAGCACAGAGGCGCACTCATTCGCCGCTGCAATTTTATCATCATTGTTGTTTAGCACTACGCCAGGTCTCTTAGAAGAGTTTACAATGTTTAAAAAATGCTGAAGGTTGTTACGCAACATAGTGGGTAGTGTGCATTCGAAAAAACGGAGCTTGGCCTAGATATGGTAATCGCAAAGTTCCGTTTATTTTTGGCAGAAAAAAACTTTTGTCTTAAGCCCGTCAATTAGCAAAAGAATCGTAAGCATTGGCGGATTGAGACATTGTCCTTTTTTGTCTTGGTTCCTGGCCTTACCTTTTCGGTAGGATGCACCGTGAAGGTGATATCTTTGAGCACGTCCGGTAGTATTCCTGGCTTGTATGATGCCGAATAGGAGACAAACTCCACTTTTCCTTTTTTTGGCCACTCATCCAAGAACTCTACGCTAAAGTCATACTTCTTCACACCAGGCTCAACTTCACTCTGACAAAATAAGAAGCGATCACTTTAAATAGCCTGTTTGGAGGACAAACAAACATAAGTAAAAAGGAAACAATTCTGCATTTTAACATTTTTAAGAAGAACAAATGGCTGACACGTGTCCTGTGCATATTTCGTCCTGATTTTTTTGTTTTCCCTTTCTAAGAATCTATGACCCTGTTCAAGTCGTATAGACAAACTAATCTCATATAGACAAACAAGTCATATGGACAAAATCAGAACGCTGTTTCGCGCCCTGTCCACCAAGACTTGAGCAAAATAATATTAACTGGTGTATAATTATTTTTTCTCTATACAATTTAAAAGGCTATAAAAAGAGATACATTTTTTTGGGTGAATGCTTTTATTAGGGCAAAATAAATCATTCGTGCGCAAGATCTTTGTAAGTTTGGGTTATATCTTAGCGATGCTAAAAAAATATTGAACCTTCCCAACGGGCTAATGTTACCGTTATTTTATCTTTCCAAGATTACATGTCGGGCAAAATAGATTTTGGAAAGAGCAAAGCTGTGGAACCCGCACAAACTAAAAAAAAAAACACGTCTCCTATTAAAACGGGTCTTCAAAAGATAGGTATTATAATAACAATAAAAGTCGGCCTTTCTGTCGTGTTTACGCTTATTCAGAGGAAAAAAGCGGCAAGCGAATTGTACTGAGTGAAGTTTCGAGAGCATGAATGGGGGTCGGTGGTGTCTTTCAAATAACTGCCATTTCGGTTTCCAATCGTGGTAATTATTTTCGGCACGCAAAGAAGTTTGGGCAAATATAAGTTCGGATTTTTCATCGCGTTCGTTAAGCTGAAATTACGAAAAGTCTAACTTATACTGCGGGTTCTTCTCACAGCGTGGATCAATGTCAGTTGTTTCGTCAAGTGTCTTTGTGATGGAGAAAACCATTGAACAAATCTATCCAGTCAGGAACTCCTGCTTAAGTATTATACGCGTTTTTTTATGCGGGTTACGAAGAAATGCAATGAAATCGAACAGTGTTCGCGTACGAGGCCTTGTTTCTAACCTCAAGGTAAACTTAACACGTGTTGTATGATGCATATCTTACGTGATAAGAAAGGCGTTCGATAAAAAACGGAATGAAAATAAAGAAAATAAGTTCTAATACATTTATATCTTTTTGTTACATCGAGCTGCAGAACGTCCAGAAAAATTACAAGACAGTTAAAACTGCTTACATGTAGGAATGCGAAAGTATTCCTACATGCAGCGCGCCCCGCTGTCCGCGGTGCGGAGGACAGCGGGCAGCGCGCCCCTTTCCCCTGCGGCGCAACATGGCTGAAAGCAGAGCGCAGAACATGTGAGGAGTGAAAATTTCCCGCTCCCCCCCCCCCCTTTTCTGAATCTCCGGTCACGCCTGACACGTGACCCGAAAGGAGGGAGAGGGGCGGCCTCGCGCCCGGCACCCTCTCCCTTTTACTGGCGCATGAGTCGCAGCGCCGTGGAGAGGGCTTCTCTGTGGGGTGGCGTTCCTTGGAACTACAATGCGTCGGAGCCAATGGGAATTCCTTCTTTGTTTCGGTGCTACAGACATCGGAGAGGAGAGTTTAGGTGCCGTTTTTTGCGTCTTCGAAAGCTGATAACGCTGGTTCACTCCAGAGGACAGTAAATGTTTTCGCATTAATAACGCAGGAGTGGACAAGCACGTGCTTAATTATTTCAGACGTCCTGCCTAATGAACGGTTCTCTGACTACGGCACAAATATGCCCTCTCCCGCAGCCGCACCTTGGAAGGTAACACTGAACAATGCAGTTAAAAAAATTGCCAGAGAGCAGTACATATCTTTTCTCACCCGACATTTTGAATATGAAAAAAAGAACAGACTGAATATATCCTGATAATTTTTTGTGTTAGTCATAATATTGTTTTGTAAATATCTTACTGTAAAAAAACTGAAAATCATCCTACTCTTTTCAGATAACCATTAGCACAGATGTCTTGTATCCTTTGGAAGATATATATTCTGAAAAGAGCCTCGCAGTTCATTCAGAATGACAGCAGTCGACGAAGTGGATATGACAGTTGTGTCAGAAATGATAATCAGCAATTCGCTGCTTACTTCTTGTGGCAGTTCGGTGTACTCGATGCAACGCTCGAATCCAGACATAGAGTGAAGGCATGAGTACATCATGGGGCATGCGATAGCCAGTGTTTGTATAAGCTGCGAAAAAAAAAAAGAAAAGGATCAATATATTGTTATAATTACGCTAGTAAAGGAGCCACGACTGTTGCTCTCAGCGTTTACCCGTCGCTGACGCTACAAAACCAAAAGCGTGTCACTGGCGTCCCTCTGTGTTACCACGTAATGTCACCCATGGGAGTAATAAGCAGCTACTCGAGCAAGACGTTCGGCATTTACTCGCGTCTAATCAGTGTTGGCGGAAACTCATTACAATTAACGGCGTTATCGGTAACGCATTACTTTTTGAGTAGCGTAGTAACGTACTTGTTACATTGTCAAAACAGTAACGGGTTTACGTAGTAAAGTTACTCGTTACTTGTTCCCGAGACCTAAAAAAATACACTCCAATTTTTTTAGAGTTCTAAGGCGCCCAGTCATGAGAATTTCTGAGCTTCTTTTTACTTTTTTGTGTGGTTTTTCTCGTGAGTATTGAGATGAAACCGTAAAAAATATAAAGGTATTATGTTCAGTTTCTGTAGGAACATAACGTTTCTTGAAACATGGCGCTGATGAAGGCCTGTACCGAAAAAACAATAAAACGTGTTAATTCATAATTTTAAAAAAAGTAACACAAAAGTAACGTGCTTCACTTGGTAACGGTAACAGCAACACGTTTATTTTATTTTGAGGTAACGTAGGCTGGTAATGTTTTCCTTTTGTTTGCAAGTATTTTGTTACTTTTTTTTTTTGGTAACCCCTACAACGCTGTTTAATCAGTGAGGAGACTTACGCTAGGTAGCGCAAGCTGACGCCCATTACGAAGGGTATAGCCATTGACATCATCCATCCAACATTCGTCTATCCGAGAGAAGCGCTGCGCCAGCGCCCGGCTAGCAGTCATGTTTAATCAGTGAAGAGAAGCGCGATGCGTCCGAGTTCTACTGGAACTCGCGTTTGGTTGTTCCGTCACTGGAGTAAGAATCAGCGCGATGGTTAGGTGCCAGTCTTTTTATGCATTCCGTGCTAAACAAAATAGCGATCAAAAATCTTTAATATATAAAAAAACAATCTAGATTTGTACTATTCGCAACTCGAGCCCGTCGCTCGCCCTCTCGCGGACGAACGAAGAATTAGAGGAGCGGGAACGGCGGCGGAGATGGTGGCAGGGATCTGTCGGCCTTGGTGCTGCTGTTCTGGTCGGTGTGTTCGCGAATCATGCAGTTTTCACGCATAAAGGTTGTGCGTGAAAATAGGAATTGTAATTCGCTTCACAACAGCATTGCACACAGGGACCAAGCTGTCTCACTTGGAAACTTTTCGTAGACCGCCTACGCTGTGGATTCCGGGTCCTGCAGTCGCCAGCACTCTGTGCTCAACGTGACGGCAAGAGCTTTGCTAGTAGTGCAAATCTCTTGCGTACGATGTAAAACAAAAAATATTATTTTCAGAAAGTATAAGATAACTGCTCGCGCAGCGGTGTGTGAAACGATAAACATCGGGAATGAGTTTGTAATTTATGCACCGAAAGACCGTGACAAGAAACATGACAGTTTCTCCCAAGCAGTTCAAAAAAGCAAACTACGTGTAGCTGCTTTCAGTTAAAGGGGCTGTGCAACGATATTGGGTAGGAAGGATTCTCAATTTACACCAGCTTACTGGCCCTAGCGGAACCCACGAATACTCGAACGCCACGCCGCTTACCAAAAAGCGTCTTCGTCGTTGTGGAATTCCAAGGATAAGAGTGAACTTTATCTTTCAGTCTCTCTCTCGCAAAATTTGATGACGGATCTGTGCGGACAACGCCAACAATTCGGTCCCCTGGAGTGCGTCATCAAGCTTTGCGATCCCTGCTGTTGGGATATTTAAATGCTGCTCATGCAGTGGACACAAAGACTTCGAAGGCAATCAGTTCTGCCTCGTGTGAATCAATGCCTCGACATGCATTCGGGTAGTGGCTCGTGCCCAATCGCTGAGAGTATGCGAATAGTCGTACCCTAACAATGCGTGGAGCTCAGCGCGCGCTCTGCGCTATACCAACCCCAGCGCGTGGCTATGTGAAAAACATTAACGACATATAATCTACTGCAAATCACGTGTCCGCTTTTTTTTTTGCTACTAGTTGGGTGGTAAAAGGTGTTCGTTTTTCTCGACTTTTTTCCGCAACTGACATTTCGTAGAGGGAAAAAGCAACGTGTGTTTCATAGGTCATAAATGTCAAGGAATGATTCTAATTGGTATTTATTGAAAGTAGACAAATTCTTGCGCCCCCCCCCCCCCCCCATCTTTAATCACAAAGACAAATAAAGCATTTATTGTAGCATTTTAAAACGCATCTGTGTGCAGATCGTGAGGTGTGCTTAATACGGGCAGTTTTTGGCGAGGTGGGTCTCAACAATGCGAATAACATGGTATACACGTGTACATTACCGTATATCTTGACATTTCTTTTGACAGAGCAATACATAAGAAACCTAAACATGCCAATGGCGTTAGTGGAGACTTTTCGGAAATCTTTACCGTATTCCGCGTATCGCACTACCAGAGCCTTTGAAGGTCATGATCATGGTATCCCACGCGGGCACTCGCTTAAAAGAACGCTTTAAAGGCTCCGAATGTGCGGTACGCAAAACACGGTAACGGTCTGCTAAAAGTTTATATTCTGAACTTTTAGCAAACCGTTGACGCGTGCTCCGCGTGCCGTACTGCCGGAGCCCTTATAGCATGCTTTTAAGCGCGCACCGCGAGGTCACGGTAGCACCTGGGCGCGCGCTTAAAAGCATGCTTTAAAGGCTCCGGGAGTGCGGTACGCGGAGCACGGCCACGGTTTGCTAAAGGTCGCTATTATGTAGTT